AAGGGACTTTCTGCAATAGTTCAGAAAATACAGCCTTGTGGATAAAAATGTAGCTTGCCTCAGGATATGAAGATGTACTTGGATCCAAATAATTGCTCTCTCTGCAATATCATAGTATTTCTACATTTTACATCAACAGTTTCAGGAGATTTCTACCACACATCACTTCTTGCTATTTTCAGACATCTTTTTTTAGTAGGACTACCTTCAGTTTTCCTATATCTCGATGATATAAGTTCTATACTAATAACTTTAAACCAGTGGTTCTCAAACTTTCACTACTGGCGACCCAATTTTCAATCACAATTTTCATCGCGCCCCCCTAAAAGTAATAATGTATTGAATGCAATAATAATGCACTTTGGCGCTAAAGCTACAATACGATCAGAATTATAAACCGTACAAAGTAACAAGATAAGTATTAAATTTTGTATAAGTTACTTTTAAGTAATATTTTTTTTTTTTACTTTTTAGTTCGATTCACTATAAAAGCGCGTTTTTTGTTTGTTTCAAAACTATAATTTGTTTTATAATTATTTTTACTATACACGATAATAATCAGAATTCTAGTGAATAATTTAATTAAGAGAAAATATACTTACCTACTTTCAAGAACTTTTCAATTTTTCTTTGAAAATTTGAGACAAAATCCAATAAAACTAAGGAAAATGTTTCAAATGTGCGTGTCCTTAATAAAGGATTTAAATCACAGACACTTTTCGCTAACACAGGAACGTTATTTTCCACAGCAAAACTATCATATTTTGTTCACTTTTTTGTAGTTTTCTGTAGTTTGATGATCTACAAATAGCATTTTGAACTTTTCTTCTTTGTGTCTTTTTGACAAGGTGAAGTGCTACATTATGGCTTCATAGTTTTCTTCATATAGATCTTTAGGCAGCATTTGAAAATTTCAAATCAACTCAAACGTTTCATGTCTAACGCTTTTCTGATATTTACTTTTCGCTATATCTTGATTAATATGCATTATTTCAGTAGGTTCTTCAATAGCTTGATCAGTTTCAACTTTTTTCAATAGGAATCACAGATGCCCATTTTTTTTAATATTCTGCTCATTTACATTTATAAACCATAATAAGTCACACAAAACTGCAATCAAAACCACAAAATTGTTCATGGGGAAAGTGAAGCATGTGTTCTAAGCAATAATTTTGTAAAACGTTTTTCATTATGCATTATATGTTTCAAATTACTCAAAAATAAATCTTGGCCAAATAATTCTTCAAAGTGCTCAATATGCTTATCCATATATCATAAAACGCTTTCACATGGAAAAAGGCGAAACAGAAATATATTATTTACAACTTCCCTAAAAAAACGACGGAGATAACCATACCTGTAAGTTCGAAGGTCAGCTAAAGTAATATTTTAGGTTAAAAGAGACGTAATAAAAAATCTCTCTTCGTGGGATTACAGCAAAGCAAACATTTTTTTTTTAATTTGGTTATAGGATCAAAGATGGCTAATGAGCGTTTGAAGTGGAATCTTTTATTTTTGATGATCCCCAGATGATAAAAATAAATTATATCAGTGTAAATGTGTATTTTTTATTATGTCAGAGAGCATTTTGTTTTACTTCATTCCAAAAAATTATTTAATACTTTTATTTTCAATACGCTCGCGCCCCCCTCGCAGGGTTACCGCGCCCCCCCAGGGGGCGCGCCCCACAGTTTTAGAAACACTGCTTTAAACAACAAAAATGCAATTTAAAATGAGCTTTAGTTCTTAAACGAACTTTTTGTTTTGGTAAAACCAATATAAAGTTAGAAATAAAATTGAACGAAAAATACAAACGCAACTTTGAACGAATTGTATACAAATATGCCAATTTCAGTCTCAGATACAGTTAAAACAAATTGTTGTCATCCTGAACTTGATAAACTAACATTTAACGACAAAAATTAGCGAGGCTTTGTCTACAGTAAATAAAATTCTTAATGTCAAAGTACGTGACAGCTTTGTTAGCATGACATTAGAATGTAAACAAACGATGGCTAAATGGAAACTACCCCATAACTCAGTAAGAAATGTATAAAACCAAAAAAAAATTTTGCGTTTGATAGAGAGGCTAATATAATATTAAAATAAATTAAAAAAATTTCGATATTTTGGTAAATTTTCCGCATTTTAACTGTCCACTGTAGCCTTAAAATGAACCAAGTTGCCTCATTCACAAATTTAGATTAACTAGAGTAGTGGTGTACACAAGGGTGGGGTTTGGGTATTCAAACACCTCCCATAGACCAACAGATCTTTAATTTTTAGCATTAAGATTACCTCTTGGTGTTTTCATCTACGTCTTTTTTAAATATAACTCCCCCTCCCCATGAAAGTAGTCTGTGAACGCCCCTGAACAAGATAGTGGCGTAACGGAGAATATTAGGGCCCCCTGCAAAGTTAGGTATTGGGAAGTAATCTCCAGATCTTACAAAGGGTATGCATTTTTTTGGCGTCAGTCATGCTTTGAGCTCCCTTGAATCCTGGTCTCCCTGCGATGCGGGAGTGTACGTTACACCACTGGAACTAGAGCATGTACTATTAAGTGAAGTATGAATTATGTAACAACTTTTATGCAAAATTGTTACTTTTATTTACGTAGTTATTTGTATTGCAAACATCTATATGCTATCCATGAAGAGAGTTAAAGTAATCAAATGCATTACTAGCTCAATAAGATTCAATAATGCAATTGAACAACTAATTTGAATCGTCACTGGAAAACTCCCTTCAACTATACTTAAAAATTAGGTTTAACGGATTTTGACGTAGAGCATTTCTTCCCAAGCAAGTTTTCTAGGTTCTTGTTCTTAACATTCTAGAACAGGGGTCGGTAACCTATGACACGCGTGCAACATGTGGCACGTGGTGCAGTTCTCAGTGGCACTCTGCACTACTCTGCAAATTCGTCAATTTTCGAATGGACAGAAGTTGATGCATTTTAAATGAACCTTATTTTGACAAGCATCTTCAGAATTTTAGACATTTATGGAATTACGAAAAAATCTGACAGAGATAACTCTAAAGATAAATTTACAGCTATTTTATAAGTTATTGAATGGCATTGGTGACGAGATTTAATTGTTTGTGAAGAATGAAAGTTGCGTGTACTCTGTTTTCCGCATTTGGTTCTGCATATTATAGTAAGAAAACTTTCTTCATAAGAAAAATGTTTCGAGTCCGCAAAGAAATTGTATAACAACTGAATGCTCAGAATCGTATCAAATTGAAATTCTCAAATTATACCCCTGATTTTGCGATGTGAAAGTGTGTGTTTGTGTGTACAGCGGTGTAAGGACTAGATTCGCATTAAAATTTTTATTTGTCTTTTTAGTTAACTATAATGAAGGGAATACTTATATTTTACTTTGTCTATTTCTTATTTTAATAAGTATGCTTAAAACACATAATATTTGTTCAATTTTAATTTTTCTATTTTTGTTGAAGAAATAATTATATTCTATGCTGTTTATTTTTTATGTTATGAAATATCTTTAAATAATGCAAAAGTAATGTGTGTGTGTATAAAAAAACTACAAATTTATACATTATTGACCTCTATTCTAAAACTCTGCATGCATTATAGTGGGAATCGAATTGCTTCAAAAATGTTCTACTTTGTGGCACGCTGAGTCTTATTGGTAGATTAGTTTGGTACACCCCACAGAGAAAAGGTTGCCAACCCCTGTCCTAGAATATGCTGTTTAAGCACTTACAATTTTCTTTGGAAAGACTTGGAAACGGAAACACCAGAAACTATTTTTTTTTCTAGTGGAATAGGAATTGAATTTTTAGACTAATGTATTACTTGGAAATTTAAAGTTAATAGTAGTAACAATTTCGTACCAGTAAAATAACACACACACTTATATAGATAATAACTACTGTTACTTTGAAGTATTAATCTTTATTTTAATTAGAAAATCAACTTTAAAAAAATTTAAACAATTGTAATAAGTGCCAAACATTCCCGTTTAAAAGGAGGGAACCTATCAGCAAAATTCTGTAATTCAAGCTTTAAAATACATGCATCAGGAGAGATTAAATGTAGTTGAAAAGTCTTTTGAACTTTCAGTTTCAACCTTTTCTCCTTCAATCTGAAGCATCAAAAACGCTTTTCATTGCTGTAGATTCCCACATATACTACGTATATCCACTACATATTTTTTTCATAATATCTTCTAACAAGCATAATTGCACGCATGTCTATTTTCAAAGTCCAGTTGTTTTCTTTGAGAGATAACACTTAACGGTAAAGCTCATTTAAACTGTAAAAATAACGTTTAATTCTAATTAGTAAAAATATCTCTCTCATTACAAAAGCAAGCATAGTATTGGATAATATTTTTGGAAATGTCTGCTACTCTTTTATTTCATTAATGTTTAAGGTGTGTTTATGTATTGTTTTCATAACGGTTGGAGCTTAGTTCCCTGAAGTTAATTTAAAATATCGGATTATCGGATGTGCTTTACATTTTTCGCCTCTGTTATTTTCTCTAATTAACTCACGCTGTGCGTACCAAATGTTAAAAGAAAAGCATCGTATCACCAATAAATTTAATTTTCAAGGTTTTATATATTTAGCGTAACAGAATTTATAAATTGCTTAGCTTAGGGATTCAAGAAAAAGTTCGATAAATAATGTCGAATCTTTCAAAAAGAAAGAGTTGCGATTATTTCGTTTCGTAAAAATGATTAGTTGTACATTAGGGAGGTTCACTGTTATAGGGAGAAACATTGTTATTAATCAGGACCTTCCTATGTGTAAACTGTATGTTACTATGTGTAACCACTTTGATGACTCTATAGTTTTGAGATTAGGAAAAAAAAATTTTTTTAATCATTTCAAAATGCAATAATGCCAAAAAAAAAAAAAAAAGGGTTGAATTTTCGAAAAAAATTTTAGAAGGTTTAATTTTGATTAGATAACTTTAGTCTTAAAATAATTATTTTTATGCAATATAAATAACCAAAGGGATGCCGCCCCACCCAGTATGGTGTTTATGACACTCGGCTTGTAACTGAGTGAGTTCGGGTTCAAATCCCGAGTAAGGCATGGATGTATCTTCGAGAAAAGAAATCGGACTTTCGCCTGAAAAGGATTCCTGTCTCGAATGGATAACAGCACACCACTTCTGTTCTATTCTGGGATCATCGTTTGTGTAATAAAGTCTATATTCTTCTATGTTTGTATTATATGTTTCTGTTCATCTATCTCTCGTCTTTCATATGTTTCCCTGGATGAAACACACGACAAGAACTACCAAAGGAATGTTGATGAATGAGTAAGGAGTACTGGGTAATAAGTACTGAACTATGAGTAATGAGTTATACAATCAGTGGCGTAACGGAGAATACTAGGCCCCCGTGCAAAATCAGGTTTTGGACCCACAGCTGGAGGGTACATGGTGTTAGTCAGATTTGGGGCCCCCTAGAGCCCTGCGCACCTCCGTGATGCGGAGGTTGCGGAAGTGTACGTTACGCCACTGTATGCAATGTATATTCCAACAATTCGTAACCCTTCTTTCTCTCGTGTATCATCTAATCAGTCCGATCCAAACTTTTTTCCCTCTTACGTTTTATCGTGCACTGTAATTCCGGCAGTTCTTTTTTAAAAAAATTTCTAATTTTGCGACAATATTTAAGAAGTTTCATGCATCAGGGTACGCAGAATGGACAGAAGGTCCAAATTCTTCAAAAAGAAACCGTGTATTCTCTCACGCCTGGGGGTAAAGCAGGTGTTGAGCTGATTTTGGAAACCACTTTGATGCGATTACACCCCTTCCTTCTCCGACACCCAGATGGCTCTCAGTCACAATGGTTTATAGAAAGAATACTCCTGTTGGACAAGTTATCTATTATTTCATTCCTTCGCACATATGGGTCGCGAATTTCTTGAATGATAAGAATGCCGGCCTGTTGTGAGGAAGACACATCTGGGAAGGTATTTCGAATGTCAAAGTGACAAGTCGATTGATAGACCCTCCATATGATGTACCAGATACGGCGACGCAGTTGATCTCAGTCGTGACGGCCTATTGTCTCAAGAACCATTGGAGTTGGGACTAAGACGAAGAATCCTAGCTGTTGATCTGCAATGTTTACCAACCAGAAAAAATTGGGGCGTGAAAAAGGCCCGCCCGATCATTTGAAGATCTCCGGACTTTAAGGCATTTTTTCGATGAGAGGACAGATACTGCGATGTCGTGAGCCTTCAAAATTACTTCATTTCTTGGTAGCGAGAGGGATCAGGCAGATTTTGGCTGAAAGGCATTTTATTTATAAATTAATTTTAAAAAATTAAATTCATTTTTATTTAGTCTGACCTTTACAGCATTTTGCTGAAGAAAAGTTAAAGTACTAAAGTCACTGTAGCATAAATTACTTCCACTTATTATAATTTAAAAGGTTCAAATACTTTAACTTTATTCCCTTTGTGACAATACTTAACATACAAATTAGTTTTTAATTTTTTTCTCTTCATCTATATACCGGAGAACATCTTTTCAGCATAGATAAAAAGCTTGAAATTCGTGAAAAAAAGTTTCATTCTACCCTGTAATAGAACATGCATCAATATTTTTTAAGACAAAAACTAAGAATCTTCCATCTCAAATTTAATAACTGTTCAGACTGACTTGATTGATTCTGATTCAACTTCCCGATTCTGCAACGCTATTTGTGTTGCTTTTTGGTCTCGTTGCTTCTTTTATTGTGGGACGTGGTTCCTGAGTGGTCATGGTCACGAACTCGAGATTGGTGATTTGTGAATTCTAGTTTAACTGAACACCCGCCTTATAGAGGGGCTGATGCCCATTAAATCTGTCGACGCTGAATGTCCTCTCATTGGCATAGCAGAAAAGTTTGGAGAGTGTGGTGCCTGTTGAGGTATGGGTCTCGTTACTTGAACACGGTTCAAAATTATGAGGTTCGTCACCTAAAAGCTCTCACGTTACTTTAGAGCTAGGGTAAACATTACGTCGATCGCGATCGACAGGTGGACTGCCTATACATTTTGGGGTGACCGCCTGGAGATTAGCCGTCAGTAATTGTATACCGAACTATTTAAGATTAGCTGACAGTATGCAGACTAAGTCTTCAACTGACTGTAACAACAAAAACTAACTTTAGATAAAAATGTTTTATTTTTTTTAATATACTTTGAATTGTTTGATTATAGATGCATCATTTGATATTGTCACACATTTTTGCTCTTTTTTGTGGCTATTATTATTATGTTTGTATCTTACGTTTTGCTTTAAACGCCTTGTTGGAGTGTTAGTTTTTTTATTCTAGTTCTATAAGTAAGTACACATATTCCGTATTTATTATTTAGTTATAATAAATATTGTAGATCTTTTCCTTACCTCACCACCCCTATGACACTGGGCAATGGCGCACACAAGAATTTTTCAAGGCGGAGGGGGGGGAGTGTCGAAAGTCTACCCTTCTCGTATGACAGATACCCGAAAACGCAGCCAAACATTTTTTTTTAGACTTTGTTGATTATATTGGGGGGACAGTTGAAAATAAGTTACTAAATAAATAATTAGCATTAAATAATTAAAATTTTTTAATAACAAATACTTAATTAAATTTTGCATACTATATACATGGGATTATAATCAACTGGAAAAAAATATCAAGGGCTATGGGGAGGGGGAGAATCCGTGTACACCCCCCTTTGTGCTTGCTATTAACCCTGAATGGAACACAACACCTTGAAAAATTAAGAGTAATCCGCACCCTGGAAAAGTCAGCCCACCCCTGCTTTAGAGTGCGACGTTAATAAAAAAATTCTCTCTCGGTCAGCTACTTTTACTGCAGTGTAAATGAAATAGAGTAGGAAGGACAGAGTGGTGTAACGTCACTTCTCCGAACATCGATAGTGGTCGGCATCTTTGTTGGACCCGACACCCACACGTGCATCTTGCAGCTGCAGCGCACCCCTTTTTTTGACCCCCGAGGAATCTAACCCCGTCGACCGGAAGATGAGAGGAGAGATGCTTTGAACTTACACGGGAGCGGTGGCCAACGAATCCTCCTCTCACAAAATATTGGACTCTAACAATCTATAATTAAATTTAATAACTTTAATGTATCATTTAGTAAATAATATTCAATAGTTGTGACGTAAATAAATTCCATATTTTAATTAACCAAGAATACGCTACCGTTATTCTTTCAAACGTTACAGCTTAGAGATTTTGGTGGCAGCGCTTTGGGATAAAAAGTTAGCATTCAGGACCCGTGAGAGGAGAAAATCTTGGGTTTTTACGGACGGACCGCAACACAGGGAGAAAAAGACATCTTCGGAAGCCGTGCTGCAATTGAATTCAGCTTCGGAGAAGGAGAGCGTCCTGCTCAAAGAAGATCAAACTGATCTATAGTGTTTACGGCCACAATGTCCGGAGGGAAAGCGATCTTCGGAAGCAGTGCTGCGATTGAATTCATCTTTGAAGCTGTGCCACGAGTAGGGTTGCCAGATGTGTTCGAGAAAAAAACCGAACAACTTTTCAATTTTTTATTATCTCATAAATATTGCTGAAAATGACAAAGAAGCTTACAATCTACTTCTTTGTATATTTGGCATTTGATGACACTGCTTTTAACAAAGGTTTATTGGTCGAAATGGCATCTTTGAATTCAGTGCAACTAGAGCTTATATTGAAAAAATGCACAATTCACTTTTAATGTATTTACAGCGAGACGATTTCTTTCGTCAGTCCATACGTTTCCCATGACGCTGAAGATACGTTCCACAAAAGCGTTGGATACAGGAACACTGCACACAAACTGCACAATTTTCAGCAGATTCGGTGCTTCTTCTTGGAAAAATTTGCACCACATTTCAATTGAGTTACCTTCGAGTTTGAGTGAAGAAAAAACACTCTGAAGTGCAGCCAGTTCATCGTAAATCTGTTCAGAGGGGGGTTTGCTGCTTCTGTGGAGATATTGACCATAGTTCGAGCAGTTGATCCAACGTGGTCAATCTTCCGCATTCGAGATTCAAACAACTGAACGTTTTATAATTTTGGTTTTCAAATAAATACCACTTCTCTATGTAAGCTAGAGCTCGGTGATACGCATTTGTAGCGTTTTTAGTAAATTTTTCAACTTCATGGTCTGGAAGATTGCCTTTTTTTAATGCCACATGGACTTTAATTCCGAAATATTTGTCATTTATTTTCTTTGAAATTGTGTCGTGAAATTTCACCATTATGTTATGTAGATTAAATGCTGCTGTGGTATGTTTCTCTACCAACAGAATAATTTCTTGAAAAGAATCCATAAAGTTATGAGTGAAATACAAATATAGTTCATTATAAGTAGGATTAGCTTCACCTGAAATTTCGTTTTCTTGGTCTGATAAGATAGCCCAGAGAGCCGTAGAGCAATTATCAGAACCTCGTTCTATGAAGTGCCTTTTCAATGGCCCCCATGATGAAAGCATCCTATCAAGAGCTTTAAATAAACTAAGCCACCTTGTAGGAACGTGACGAATGACTTCTCTGTATTCGCTTTCGAAAAAATCAAAGTACTCCTTCAAATCTTCTCGTTTCTTAGCGGAACAAGAGAACTCTGCAAATACTTTCATCACTATATTTTCGACATCAACAGGCATTACTTTTAATTCATTTTTAGCGCAGTTATGAAATATGTGGTCATTACAGTGAGCAGCAATTATGTCGTTGTCTTCTTCAGACTTCAATTTTTGAAAAAAGGAATTATTGACTCCAAAATTAACAAACGCGTTGTCCGCTCCATATGATGTTACTCTGCTCCATGGGAGTCGTGATTTATCCATGACTTCACATAAACGTTCCTTAATAGATGTTGAATCTTCAAATGAGTCTTCGTAAAAATCCAATATTTCATGGCAGATGCTGCTTTTTGGTGAGAAATATTGAATAGCAACTGGAAAAAAATTTCTATTACCTTTATTTGATGCATCAGTCGCTACCGAAAAGGGGACATCATTCCTTAAATCTTCCTGCACAAGTTCCATTGAATACGGAAACAAAACTTGGTTTACCAAAGCTGTACATTTAGTAC